GGGGGGGGGGGGAGACCCACGGGAAGGCTGGCGTTGTCCCCGTCAGTTTGTTATTCCCCCGGAGATTGTCAGATCATCGCCGTCCTCTGCTGCAGGCTGAGCGAGAAGGGCGCGCCATTCGACCTGCAGATCCGCATCCCCCAGCTGCGCATTAACGCCGACTACACGTCCTCCGGCGTCCTCATCATCATCCCCGCCTCCGGGAAGGGCTCCTTCCACGCGGCGCTGGCGGGCGTCACCGCCGTGCTGCGCGGCACCACCAGCACCGCCCGGGGCGCCGGCGGCCGCGACTTCCTGCGCGTCGACAAGCTCAACGTGGACCTCAAGATACGGGACGTCAACATGGGCATCAAGCGCGCCTTCAACAACAACGCCATCCTAAGTGAGTTTCGGTCGTGACGAAGGCGGCCCGTGGGTAGCCAGTGAGTGGGCCGGGCGCGGGCTGGAGCTAGGAGTCCGCCAGAGAAGTGGGTAGTTGCGCCCCCAGTACCTTGGCAGCACCTCCGACGTCTCACCCTACGCCTTAGAGGTGGGCAGCCCATCCGGCACCTCACCCACCTGGGAGGCTGAGAGGCGGTCGGCCCCTCCTGCACCCGACCATACGCCCGGGAGTTGGGCGACACATTCTACATCTTTCCATGGGGGGATAAACGCGTCATTGGCGGCTGCAACGCCGGGCTAGAGGGCAGCCCCTCGTGCTGCTGGGGAGGTTCACGCGGAGGGCTGCGCCGGGGAGGCACTCAGCCAGTCCTGCGCTTCTGCTAGCGTGCTGGAGGAGTAGGGAGTCCACCAGAGAATCAGGTAGCTGCGCGGCCAGGAGGTGGCAGCACCTTCGGCTCCTCACCCCACGCCTGAGAGTCTGGCAGCCCCTCGTACGCCAGGCCGAGCGTGGTGGGGAGGAGGTCGCTGCCCCGTGAAGAACAGATTGCCTACCTGTCGGGCGAATGGGGAGCCGCTCGTGTGGTTTGGAGGAAGAGGGGGGGGGGGCACTGCCACACACCTACCCGGACTGCGTTCCCCGTTAATGACTCCCTGTTTTATTTATTGACTTTTTCGTTTTGTTCTGTTTTTTTCCAGCCGAGGCGACCAACTTGTTCCTGCGGAGTAACGGACATGAGGTCCTGGAGGCCATGATGCCCCAGCTCCGCCTTAAGCTGGCGGAGGTGTTCATGAGCATCGCCAACAAGCTCCTGGCGAAGGTGCCAGTGCAGTACTTGGTGCGGGATTAATCACATCAGGCCAAGAACGTGAAGAACTTTAGCGATAAAAACGAAACGAATAGTTTACTAAATAAAAAGACTGTCCGGAGGCAACACGATCGGCTTAGATCACTGTACATATTTTTTAACTTTATTTCTCCTTGTGATTTTGATGTATGTATTTATGAAATAAATCTTAGCGGTATTATTGTGAAATGTGTTTCTTTGTCATCTCGCACCAAAGATTATTCGTGAAGCCAAGAGCCGGAGTGCACACATGGCTGATTACACTACTGCGTTTATAGCTATACTGTACCGGACGTGTGTGTGGGCTGCCTATTCGACCGGGGCCGTAAGGCGCCTTGATTTGACGATAGGCAAACCCACGCAGGCGGTAAGATATAACAAACAACAAAAGTGCGCGGGGCCAACCAGCAATAACCTGGTAAGTTAATGTTGCCTTCTTACAAGTAGTAGTGATGTCCGATGCTCGATGCCCGCTCCTGCTTCTCGCAGCACAGCTCTACACGCCACGCAACGTTGCCTCGTACCTCCTTTTCTGGGTCACCATCGGGTATCGTTTGAATGGAGCCGTTCAGAACCGGGTCCAGCCAGCGGCCGGGCTCGACGACCGGGCCTCTAGCCACTCTTTACCTGCTTACTCGTCGGGTCCGAGCTTACTGGAGTTGTCATTCCCGAACTACGGTAGTTAGGAAAACATAAGCAGACGTCACGGCATAGGACTCCGTCTGCGTTAAAGTCTCCAGTCCCCCGCGTGTTCGTGCTGAAGGCTTGACAAAAGCAGGGCATGTAAATATTTTGGGGGGGAATTGTTAGTGATCATATCTTTTCGGCGCTTACACCTAAATCTTTTACAAAGTTTTTTTTGGTATAATAATGCAGGGAATTTTGTGCAACCGTAATATACTGGAAATTTCCTTGTATTACAGGAAATTTCCTTTACACAAAAGTGTGCTTTGCATTACAAAGAAAATTTATTGGCTTTTTAATACGGTTGCGGAGAATATCCCAGAATTCTTTGTAACACAGGAATTTTCTTTGTCAGGATTGAAGTGTGTGTAGTGAAAAAAAAAGTTCTCGTAGTCATGAAAATTTTGCTAGACTAGCTGAAGAGGTACATACCGAAGATTCTTGTTTCAAGAACAACAAAAGGGCTCCTAATTTGGTGGTCGCGTTCTTGCGTCTAAATGGAGAGCATTTTCAGCTGTGGCAAAATTTAACAGGGTACTCGATTAGATTTCACTGAAAAATGCATGCAACCTTAATTCTTTGCAATAATACGAACATTCTTTGCAAGGATTAGCCGCAGTATTGAGAGGAAAACGCTCTCAGAACAAGAGAACCATATATCACCTAGACAATGGCGATGGCGTGTCACTTCCGATTTCCGAACCGAAAAGTCCGTCGGGTCGGACTGGTATCTGACATACAAGTCACAAGTCTATTAACCAATGCAATAATGCCATGGGATGCAAGTAGTGCGCCCTCTCTTTGCATGCCGCCCCGTCGGCCCCAACAGTTGTACCACTCTTGATGGTGCTTAACGTCCAGTTCACCGTGACATCCACTAGTAAAGACCGCGGTGTCGCTGTAAGGACCATATCATGAGGTCTCAACGCTGGCTACGTCCCAGCAGTCTTCAGGGATGATAAGAAGAGAAAGACTTCGTGACGTTAGAGCGAGAGAGAGGTGGAGAGAGAGGGGGAGAGAGGGAGGGAGGGAGAGAGGGGGGGA